TCTGTCGGAAGAGGTGATTAGAACAAGTAACTAGGCCTCAGTGATTATTCGACAGATTCCGATGGAAAGTAGAAACACGCTGTCGGGTAAGACAACTCACACATTATCTAGTGGATTAAATGTCCCACTGTAATTTGGGTAGATGACCCAAACACGACGAGACTTGTACCATCAGTGTGTTCTTTTAACTCAAATTGTAAAGTGTGCGCTGAATACAAAGGGCATTCGGCGTCTATGCGTGGGACCAAATCTTCTCACAATCAAAATATAAGTTTATTTATGGCCTTCCATTTTCAGTAAAATGGCATGAATTGCACAAATGGTTTAATTACCCGAAGGTTCAGCAATGTTTTTCATCAAATCATATTTTGTGTTGTTCTGTTACATATGCCAACTGTGATAATGCGTTTTCTCGGCCAAGGTAAACACCTATACTGAATGCATCCGCCTTCGAGTAGACGAGAAATTGGGTTGCGGATTTTTTCGTGCAAATATCGAGTTATGTTTACCCCCACGAAGACCGGATTTTGTTAATCTACAGGCTTGTATCAAACAGTTTCCAACGGAACTATATATTTCATAATCCTGACAGCAATTTCATATCAATGGAATCATTCTAACCTGCATTGCCCAGCTTTAGCCTTTGAACAGATCTTTTTCATCTCCAATTGGTCCTCAGTGAACTCACTGTTCCTATGTTGCCTCAAAACTAACAGACACCTTAAATGCGCACAAATTTATTTTGAATAATTTTTTGGAAGTACCCCTTTAAAAAACTTTGTTTGTTATCGTTTCACTGGATCGTTTGTCTGATGTGGCTCAGTCAGTCCGGGATTAGTCAATGGCAATAAAAACAAAACGGAAACCAAATTATTTTGCAAGGGTGGAAGTGACCGTTCTTTTCCGACTGCTAACATCTCAGAAAACGTCCGACATCAAACGATAATGATAACAAATAGCTCACAAAAATGCAATCATATTGCTGTCTCTTGGGGGCTATGGAAACACAGGGTCAATAAAATGGAGTTGACGAATCCCAGAATCCCGTCAAACCTGGAATGTTGATATTTCAGTTAAGTAATAGGATATAGCATATAAGACAGAATTGTGTATTTCACTTTCACTGGTGATGTATAAAAATTGACGTCCGGCGAATTTCACGATGACAATAAGCACCGTAAATCGGGTGTTCAACCTGTCAAAATAAGTTTATCCACAGTTCATTGTGTTTGGGTCCATGAGTAAATATTTCCATTGTGTATGGTTTATGATGAAGTTGATGAAAAAAGCTGACCCAATGCCGTTCATTTTGGTCACTGTGAGTGATCAACAAATTCGGTCCGTGAATGCTTCCTGGTTCAGTATGATATGCAGAACAGGCACACTTTGAGGGGTGGGCTTTCGTTAGCTTTGCATTGCTGTGACATAAGTGATTGACCGTTAAAATGTTTCCTTGACCGACAATGTACATACGACAGCGTTTTGATCACTTGCTTTAAAGGAACGGAAAACCCTCACTGAGTGAGTGGGATATAATCCATGGCCTTTGAGGTTTCCTGACGATCACGATGCTCCAACAGAACCAAGCGCGAGACCTTATATAACACCTTAAACAAAATTTGGTGCTTTAACTGATCAGGTGCTTTTGACGCTTTCAGATGAATCGAATCCATAGCATTCCCTTCGTCGACTATGTTACAATGTTAACTTTTTCAGCTTAAGATGTCCGAGTATCAATTCAAGATGTCATGTTGCTATGTGGAGAATACCTTGCACAGTACAGAGTGAAAACGTTCGATGGGACCCCTGTTTATCTAAATCCGTGTGCGGCCTACCTGCGTACTGATCTATGGCCCCCGAAAATATCGTCCCACGCTCAACACAAATATGCACCGATGATTATCTTGTCTGCTTGTTTGCACACAGACTGGACAGTGCAACCCGCAATTCAGTCAGAGCTATGCCACCATATACAAACCGACGAAGGCCTGGTTGAATACGGAACAAAAAGGAGCGCTTTAGGGTTTGGTTGGGTCTCTCACACGATGATCACATTTCTCACTTGACCAAGCAAACGATCAATTGACTGATCAGTGCTCACCACGAACGTTCATGGTCTTATGAATGAAGTGTTCTCGATACAAAAGGGGTGGTAGCGGACGACGTGAAATGGGGGTTGAACGTTTGCAATACCGAGGGTGGATAAGAAGTGATTAAAATTGCCAGTGTTATTCGACCGCTTATCTAAAAACAACGCAACTAAAGTTGGCACCACACTTCGGTTGCAACATGACGCAGTAAGATGGCCCAGAACGCCACGGAACCAAACCTGACAGGGTTCCTTGGTAAACGACCCACGTTTCAGTGTATAATTATTCATGCTATGCTCCGACATAGCCCCAAGAATATGAAGATTTTGCCCTCTGATACTTGCATCAAAGCAACCATCTTTCCTCGTAGGGATCGACCGCGTGTTCTAGTGCAAGAGGTTAAAATATGCGAAGATTCATGCTTAGCATTTGTATGCTGACTTACTTTCAGCATCCATACAATGTTTTTTCCTTCTATAATACATAACTGTATTTGCTGACAAAACGAGCTCATCGGAATCCATAATCTCCGGTAAGGGATATATTTTCCTCATTGTGACGAGTCGCCGATCCAAATAATTGCTGATTGTGGTGCAGCAGACCTCTTTTTTTCAGTATTCCGCCTTTAGCCTCAGTCACGTTTTATCGAATGCGGTCAATGTCAGACACAAGAACCTTCCGTGTCTATCAATCAGCTGACTCACAGGTATTCTTACTCACCGCTCCGCACACAAACTAATATCACTACCCCGAAACAGGGTGTCATGACCCCTTTCCGTGGTATATGATATCAGTCAAACGCATTTTACACAACACAGCACTGCACGGTCTCTTTGGAGACATTGCGACTGAGGCTAGTTCCGTCCATGGATCTCGTGTTATAATGTTATTCAAGTGGTTTTCTTTTCATCGCAAGGCAACGGATTAATTGATAACACATACAAATAACAAAATTTCCTCGACTTTCCAATAACCAATGGCTTTTCCAATCCATTCAGTTGTCTGCAGTTAGTCGCATGTCTCCGTGCTTCACTTCTTTAAGCTCGCCGTCGTAAACTTCAAATGTCTCGACATGAAGGACTCCGCATTCAATCACGAATGTTCTACCGATTGCTGCACCCAGTCGATGGACGATCCCAAGTTTGTTAGGTACAGTTCAGCTCTGTCTCTCTTGGAAAACATGGCCGAGGAGAGAAACCCTTGCTGATTGGACCGGGTGAAGCAAGCGTCAGCACAAAATGAAGCTCCTTATTCTGATAAGAACCACCTGGAGCATGGAATGCATAACATATTTAAGATAAAAATGCCTTTAGTGAGGTGCCACACGACAGAGTTTGTCACCCCAAAGCTCATGAATCCGGTATATTGCCGGGGTTGACCCAAGCAAAGTGGTGATTTTATACAGATTGGTTAAATTTTATGTTTTCTCGTGTTTGTATTACTGAGATAAAGGTGACATTATCAGAATAGGAATATAATTTCTAGTTCCCCAAGACAATTTTAATGAAATGTAAAAGCATTTTGAGTATAATAGTCCGATTAGAAGTAACGGGCATCCTCATATCAAATTGAAACTTGTACTGCGGCACTTGATCTTAAACCCTAATTGATTCACACACTGAAAATCCGAATTCATTATCAGCTAATCCATAATTATACATTTTCGGTAATTTAATTCCAAACAAGACTAAGTTTTCAAAGATTCAAATGTAGCAATTTTGGCAGAATCTAGTTAGTTTCACCAAACTCTGATTTCTCTATACTCGCGAATTGATTGATCAATGGTTTATTTTCGCCAAAAATAATTTGGTTTTAAGTCTTTTGAAGTTCTTCGCGAATCATTTTCTTAAATCAAGCAGCTAACCTAACGCAAAATCAACACCTCATTCAACTTATTTAAAAGTTTGATCTTCACAAATTTCAATAAATGCGATTATATTTTAAAGTAGCTGTCACTGGAGTGTCCCTTTATTGCGCTCTACCTTGATGTATTATCATTTCTCCGTCGATAAATTAGTTTGACGTGTTTTAGGCAGTTTATCATAAGGAGGATATTTTAAACATCTCCATAAATTCTATTCACTAAATTTGAATTTGAAACGACCATTGTTTCTCGGATATGCTCAACAGGAACTTTTAAAACAATGTTCAAAAGATCTTCGTAGTAAAAATGCCTTTCATCTTTGAATCCATATGCATTTCGGAAAATTGACACGGGTAAGCGGAGTTGATTTGTTCAGCATTTCAGTCCATCTTTATCAGTCTACAATGTGATATCTGAGCAATATTTTCGAAACATTTTGGAATTTTTTCCCACGTAGAATGCAGTTGTCTGACTTACTGTTTTCCACGACAAAGTAAGAGGCACATCAAAATGGTCGTATGGTCTTTGAATCCCATCAATAAATGATAAGAAGTGTTGTAGCGCATTGTCCTTTTATCGTCTCTGGCTTTAATCGATCACAGCGATCTCCCCCTCCCCTGAACTATCCATTTGACCTTCACAGATTCACCTGTGATGTGATTTCATGCAAATAAATTACTTAATAATCATATATTGATAGTCTTGCATACTTTCACGCTATCGCAAACGACCACGTTCTTCCCTCAATTTCTCTCTATCACTGTCAGACTTTCCATGTGAACGGATTGTGCTAAAATTGGTCTCCGAGCCCCGATTGATTTCTGTCGAATATCCTGGGTTGAATTATGGAATGTTCAGAAACCTCAATGGGATTCGAACCCACGCACGGGTGATGTTTGCGCTTTTGTACAGCTCACGCTGTACCAGCTGAGTTGTGAAACCACACCGATAATACTAGTTTTGGACTACCCATTTTGGAACTCCCCCATAGGGTGTTTTGTTTGTGAGATACGTCACCTGATTTTTCAGATTCCTATAGTCCGAAAATGCCAGGTCAGTGAAGCAGTTATTTTGCCGATGACTGCAATTTCCTCATTATTTTATAAAATTGCCGTCAATTTTCCTTATTAAATGGAAATAGACTACCAAACCTTGTGTCGCGGTTTAAGAGCTACCTGTTAATTATGCACCATCCTTTGAGGTGTATTAGTTGAGGAACTATGTGCCCTTCATATTAGTGTAAAAGACGAGGTTGGTATAAAAAGGATCTCATACTTCCATAGCAAACTTACGAGTTGAACTGCTCATCACAGTGAAGCAGCCAGTAATGTTTTTGTAAAGAAAATCTATAATTCCCTACTTTAATCGTATTCTTACGTGGACAGGAAATTACGTAAAACCCTACATGAGTAAAGCCCTGCACTGGTGTTCTTTTATTTTGCGATTATTTGATTTCCATTACTCTTCACTCAGATTCACGTTTGATGAGTTATTTTGACTAAACTAAATTTTAAGAAGCTTACAAAAGTTGTCTTTTTACAATGCAGTGCAGATGAATTCTTCTGTCTCTCTGAAGGCAATAACTGCATGAGTAAACGTGAACAATTGCAGGGTTCATAGGCATATTGACCGAATATCCAGGTTGAATCCAGATAATCTGTGACAGAACTACGGGGAAGTGCACATGATGCGGTAGAATCTAGAAAATGTATGACACTGCTCTTTTGCTCTTTTTCTCCACGAAACCGATTGTACCGAAGCGCGAAGAACGCTCCTGGAAATAAATACAATCGAGCTGCTGTGTTGAAACTAGCTCTTTCGCGGAGGGAAATAAAAAGCATTTTTAGTTTCATTCTCGAATGTATTCAAAATGTTGGCTGTTTCGAATCCAAACTGACTGAAATGAATACTTCCTTACAATCTTTAGGAACCTTTTATCGATTTATTGTTATTTCAAAAGCTTGGGATAAACTCGGTAAATGATATTGTACTAGGGTGGTTTGATAGATTATTATCTCACTGTCAGCTTCAATTTTCCAAACCGAACCAAACCATAATGGTTTTTATTACTTCTCGCGACTCTGTGGATGGTAAATTCCGTTATAAAACCAGGACCACTTGCTCTCACATGATCAAGTGTAAAACAGGTTTCTCAAGCGTCGTTCATCCATGGTCACATCTGGACTTTACATCACACGAGACCGGAACCCGTCCGACGCACCTCCTTCTGGGTTCTGGTCTTATCGGGACTGGTTGATAAACAAACCGCATCCTTTTCATCGTCACCTACGATCTGAATCGAAATAAATTGAGTTCCTATAATCTTTCCATCATAATTCTTCCCTCAAAAGCTTGAGAGGAAGTTTCTGTACTGGATCCGTTACGAGACGATGTATCCATGATAAATTGGAGAGCACAAATCAGGAATAAGAAGTTAGAAAGATGTAATTCACTATGGGCCATTTTTGCACAATTAGTAAAGAGGATGATCCCATGCATGTTGCGCAAACGTTTTAAAAATGCTTACAAGTTTTCTAATTTGTCCCTGAAACACATAATGAGTATATGTTAGTGTTTGTGAACGTCACAATGCACAGGACAACTGGTGAACTTCTAGAAAGAATGGTATGCAGAAAATAGACGTAGATCCTGCATCATTGCATCAACTTTCACAGTTTTCTGTTAGTTTCTCGAATCAAAGTGAGTGTTGCTCAAATCAAACTTAAGATAATTTTAGTGAGGTTTGATCTACCCTTCACAATGTTCTATCAGGTAAAAACTTACCTATCCAAATTGATGTAGCTCGACACCCTAGCTACTGTGGAACTTGGTGAAGTGGGTTTGTATACATCTAACTTATGTACGCAAAAATATTGGCTTATTTAATTCTTCTGATATGGTCCAAGATCGTTTGCACATAAGATGCATGGTAATCTGACCTTTGAAGTGTGGCAAACTTGAGGCTGGACACACGTCACATCACACCGTCACGTTAGATTCAGTCTAGTCTTATCACCCAGATGTTTCTGTTCACGCTTCCTCCTGCTCCCGTATTGCGATTTGCCCACCTCCGAAAAGTTTTATTTCCAACAACTTGAAGTAGTTTTAGTCAATGAAACAATGAGCTTGCCGAATCCACGACAACATGTGTCCTGAAGCAATCAACCACTACAATAAGGATGGAATCTTCCTAGAGTATCAAATTTTAATGAAATCTCCTGCCGTAATCAGGTCTCTGTTGGAAAATGTTTAGTAACGTGTCCTCTCGTTAGGTCGAGAGTAGGTTGAGAATTCGGGATCAACACCCACAATGGAATGTTTTATGTGTTGACTTAAGTCTCTTAGTTAGTCCATAAATCTGGAGAAATATGGAAAAACTTTAGTAGGACATTTCCTTGAATCGTTGCAGATGGTGTTTCTATTGAAATGGTGTGCATTTCAAAACATCTTCATGTTTATCTCTCATTTGATCTCAAATAATCTCATCCGGTTCAGGTTGTTCCATCTCGCTCAATTTTCATGACACTTATGATCATCCTAGCACCGTTCTTAGTTTGCCTGCTAAGAACTTCGTATACTTCGTTTTTTACTGCCTTGATTGCGATTCTACCAAACAAATACTACTGCAAGTGGATGGCTAATTAATGGTTTCCTTTTAGATATAACTCACCATCGTCATGCTGCACTTTCACACTGTATCTCAACCTCGGAAAAGCACAATGAGTCCGAATTTGCATGCATGTAAGCCAATATATCGCCAATTATTACACCCTATTTTGCCATGGTGCACGTTTCAAAACGTGCTTCTACCGAAGCGCAAACCACTATTTGTCAACCAGCTGCCTAATGCATAGCCATTTCAAGGTCATCACAACGCTATGACTTGTGTTCGGCTCAGACCGACAACATCAACGACGTGTCGCTCTAAACGGAATAACCTGATTCAGTCACACATGCACCGCTCATTGATATGAATGGATGGTTGAACACGAACCCGCCCTGATTACTCAAGCCTGCGTACACATACACAAGCCGTTCCTTGAGTGTCCGTAAACGAGGTGGAGGTGTTGCAAGTTACGTTAGCAACAACTGGAGTAAATCAACCGCCGTCATCTACGAATACTCAACGGCTAAAATCAGTTGTCACGTCATCGAATGTAAGCCCCGTTTTTTGAGTGGGTTTCATTCCATACGTCTTGGAAACTTTTACCTGTCACCAACACTATCAGTGGCTGACATAGATAGCTTTTCTGACATTTTTCTACCTCTATTATATCAAAAACAAGTGATTATTTGTGTATATTCGTTGGTAATTTCAACAGACATGATGTAACATTCCTCACCACACTGGGTGTACACAATTTGATACATTTCCCTACTAGACTCAATTCACAACTTGATTTCGTTTTCAAAAACAGACCGTAATTTTTTGAAATCCATCAACGTGCTCCTCTGAGAAGTTCAGATCATTATATCTTAAAAGTATGCCCCATTGTACACAGCAAAACTAACCGATACACATTTTTAAGAAGGCCTTTCAAGATAGTGAGTCGAAGAAAATGTGCATCAGAGAACCTAGAAAAACTAAGATCCATGATCGCCACCACGGATTTTCCGGTGATTCCCGATCAGAACCTCTGTAAACATGTTACGGACTACCTAAATTCCTGTTTTAACTAATGTTGTCCACTAGAAACGGTCTTTATCCATAAAGACAGATATTCATCACCACTACTCAAGCAGCTACGCAGGCGGAAAGAACAAGCCTTTAAACAAAGACAAAGAATCCATGTCAAGCGACTAAGAATTTCGATCAAAGCTGAAAAAATCGATTGAATAAATTGTACACCGACACTATCCTGGTAAACTCTAGTTGTCGTAACCGATTGATTGGCAGTAGCAATAAACACAAAAGGAAGACTGTTGTCGTTGAAAGACTAAATTCTGAGTTTAGTTCAGTTTCACAGTGCACTGCCCTGACAGACTTAGTCAGCTCTATGCCAACACCAACTACCGAACCCGCCACAGTCCTTCAACAGCTACTGAAAACAAAGTTGAATAAAGCGTCGGGCCCGGATGAACTATCACCCGTAGTACTCAAGTTATGTGCGGACACCCTTTCAGCCCCCAGTATCTAAAATACGCAATGACTCTCTGATAAGCGGACAAATTCCCGATATTTGGAGACTGGCCAAGATAACTCCCGTTCCAAAACAGCAACCTGGGAAGTATTTTCCCATCGCCTGCAAGTCAGTCATGCTCACATTTTTTGAGAGCTGCTTGTTACCGTGGTTTGTCACTGAGTCTGACGAAGAAGACATACATCAATTTCCATATCGCTCTTCGCGCTCAACACTTGATGCCGTTGTATACCTTGTTCATTCAATAAATTCGTCACTAGATAAAAACGTAAGACCGTGAAAATGATGTTCTTAGACCAAAAAAACGCTTTCGGTAGTCTTGATTGATCAGTATCGCTCAACCTGATTACTGAAAGTGATGTTAATCCAAACGTTACCAGATTGATCTGTTGAAGGAATACTTTTATTAACTGGTGAGATCTCTGAAACACATTTCTAAATGTGGTGGCATTGTCAGGGATAAACTCGCGGATTCTATCATGGACAGATACCTACAAGCATGCGAAAGTTTCACTGCCAAAATACCCTCAGACAATCATCACCCATAACACAACGAATTTTCAAAAGCTGTCNATTCGTCACTAGATAAAAAAGTAAGACCGTGAAAATGATGTTCTTAGACTACAAAAACGCTTTCGGCAGTCTTGATCGATCAGTATTGTTCAACCTGATTACTGAAAGTGGTGTAAATTCAAACGTTAGCGATTGATCTACGATCATTTCACAAATAGAAGGCAATTCACATGCCTCAACGGAAAAAGGTCCTCCACTCACCCAGTTTCCTCTGGTGTTCTTCAAGGTGCAATGTTTTCCCCATATTTCTTTTCTGTGTATGTCAAACAATTTCTCATTCCTCCTGAATTCATTGGCTGTAAATACACTGATGACGTTGTTTTAGGTTGCCAAGCATTC